TCTATTAGTTTTATCAGGGTAATAAATTATTTTAAAAAAATGTTTGTGAATCAACCTTGTTCAATTTGCTCTCTAACATTCGATCGATTGACCGACGGATACCAATATCACTTATAATATATAATATTAAGTATATGTATGTGTATTCAAATTGTCACAATTTCTACTCACGATGCCTCCATGCACTCTCTAATATTTAGTACATAAGGAGAAGGTTATTAACAAAAAGGGGTTGCTTTGAAGAATGCCACAAAAGTGTGCTTGGACTTTACTAACAATCTTTTTCCGTCACTTTTCCAGTAAATAAATGACCTGTGCCCATCTCTAAACTCAACTTTAGCTTCCTGGCATTTTTGTGCTTTCATTTTTTATTTTTATTTTTTTTTTTTGACTGTGCTTGCGGTTGCTCGTACATTTTTGTTTGTTTGCCATTTTGCTTTAGAATTCATTTTAATGAATTTCTTTACCTCACTTGTTGTAGCCACTCTGACGAAATAAATTATTCAAATTAGTTCGTTTGCATTGAAAAGGGTTTGATTTCTAAGTTGGGCGATTCAAAGGCTACAGGCTACAGGCCACAGGTAGAGAGGCTGCAGTCAACTTTTGGTTAACCAAAGATTTTTCAAATGCGGTCTGTGTGGGCGAGTCTGAATGTGTGGCATAATTAAACTGTACGAGTAAATTTAAATAGGGAGCTGTGACAAGCTAAGGTCATGCCTTGTCTGAGGTATTTTTACATTTTCAGGCTGCTTCGATTTGGCATTATTCATTGATGGTGCAGCTCTGCTATTTTAGCTTGTCAAACGGGCCAAAAATAGCTCAATGGGATTGCTAAGCAATTTTCCTACTCAATGTTTAATGTGCTGCTAAATGCGATTTAAATTCCGCACACAGAAAACAGCAACAGCAACAGCAATAGCAAAAACAAAATACAAGTCTGGCTCGAAAATGGCGCACGGCTAACGAACGGAAATGGAAATTGAATTCAAATCAAAATATATTTGCAGTATTTACATGCATACATATCGGTGAATAAATGTATGCGTTCAGCTAACATGCAAAATAAACAGGCAGATATGTAAACATGTTCCATTACCGAATGCAAATACATAGAACGACTAGGTGTGTTCAATAAATGCGACTCACTGCATTTCAAAATCTGAACCTTCGAAATCTAAAATCTATACTCTAAGCAATAGGTGCGTCTTAGTATGTTACTGGGTTTTGATCCTCTTATATTTCATACTCAAAATGGGCGAATTGATCTTTTTCTGGGAGCTCAAGATGGCTTCCAACTTTGGGAGTCAGCCAACGTGTAGTTATTAGAGCGCTTTGAATCAAAAGCATTGAAGCTGATTACCTGGATCGGGCTAAGAAAAGGTCTGAAAAACTACTTTTTGGGGTCCAAAGGCCCTCTGATCACGATAGTATTTAACACAACGGTTAACACTGAAGACGTTTCAAGAGTCCCCGTACCTTTCGACAGAAATATCTTAACAAAGTATAAACATAAAATTAAATAATAATAACATTACGGATAGATCAGAAATGAAACAATATTGAAAAAATAAATACATAGATGGTAATAAGTTTTATGTGACCACAGTAGGCTAGAAATATTTCCTGCTGCTGATTAAGAGAATTAATGTAGCAAGCAGGAACAAAATCGTTGTAAATGGTATTTATTATTTATATTTGTAATTTTATTTGAAATCTCTACCTAGCGTTACAAGTATTTGGTTACTTTTACATATCATATAATTTTATCTAAATACATTCAATTTAATCTTATTCTTATTTGCGCTATTTATTAATTTATAATACAATATTTAAAAGGACTTTATTTTCTTGCTTGCTACATTAATTCTGTAATTTTTTATTGTACTTAATTTTGTAATCTCTATCCTAGCTGTCCTAATACTTGTAGTATTAGGTTACTTTTAAATTCTAGCCTGGTGATTTAGCGAAATTTCATAAAACTGCCCTACATTGCAAAATGTAGAGTCACGTGCGTGACTATCTAATCTGCTAACTGAGTGAATCTTTAGCGTTTTTTTTTTCATCTGTTGGTCGTGTTAAGTGGAAATGCAATTTTGTGCAATTTCGTTGCCGGTTGTGTGTCGCAGAGGAAATGCAACACATTGATGGTTTATGCATGGCGGCGTTTCCTGGCCCGATAAATATTTCTTTTATCCAACGGTAGAGATAGGGAGAAGTGCAGTTGTAGCGCACATTATGATTATTATGACCATGATGTTTCGCTTCTACCATGGCATGGACAACATATAGTACAAGTACTACAAATTCAATTTTTGCCAAATGGTCGAACAGTTGCCAGTAAACGGAATTCATTGCCGCTGTTAACCGCAAGGCTGGCAAACCAACAAACAAACAACATACACTCCAACAACAACAACAACAGCAACAACTACAGAAGTGCAGCAGCAGCTAAAAGAGGAAGAAAATACCAAAAGCCACAAAAAAACCAAAATGCTGAACACCCGAAATTTTGTCACCCACATTGACACACTCGCCAAAATGCAAGCGATATGAGCCCTCAGAGCGGCTCAGTTAAGGCCCACAGTCAATGCATTTGTTGTTCGGCAGACTGTCGTTCAGTCGGATCGGCACAAAAGGGCAAGGGAATAGCAGGTAGCAGGTAAGGGGCCAGTGGCAAATCGCAAACGTGCAAAAATTGCCCACAATGTTGTAGATGAGCTGGAGTGGGGTGGGGTGGGGTGGTGTTGCTGTCTCTGGTCCAGTGGCCAAGTGCCAAGTGTCATGCCAAAGGCCTCATGTCCTCCACCGCCCAGAAAGGAGCAACAGTTCGTTGTGAACTGGAAATTGAAATTTTCCAGGCGGGCATCTGGTAGAGTGTTATGCGAGGGCAAGAAGGCTGGCTAGCGCAGGCGCATTGAAAATGGTAGCGGAAAATGCTTAATGGTAGCAAAAATAGTAGCAAATATTGTAGTAGAATCTAAAAAATAAATCAAATTCTCATTTTCAGAAGAAATTAAAATATGCGAACTTAAAGTACAAAAAAAATTAAAAAAAATAATAATAAATTATAAATAAACGTATAAAAAACGTAAATTGTTTTGCAGAAATTCACGTTGCCATCCAAGTTTATTAAGTAATTTTATTTTCAATAGCGGTAAATTATCATGAAGTATAAACAATGTATGCTTAAAAAATTTGTTCGCATTTTAAAAAGAAATGTATCATTTTGTTAAAATCAGGAATAATGAACTCGGAGCAGTTATGTAACTGCATTTTAGAAGCTTATTTCAATAATATATTTTCATAAATTAATTAATTGTCAAGCGTATTTAACCATTTTAATGATTGTTTTAAATAAAAACTCTCTGCTGATACAAAAAAATTAATATATTTAACTTATTTTTAATTTGAATTTTTCATAGATCAACAAACGAAAGTTCTTGGTCTTGTTAATAAAAATAAAGTAGTGAGTTAAGCATTGCAGGTGTCTAAGAAATAGAGGATAGCAAGGCTACCACTCCTTCATATGAATAGCTGGTAAGTTAAAGAAACCTACTTGTAAGAAAGTTTACTTGTAGAAATAAAATAACAAATTTAGAAATGGTATTATTGTATATATTCTGATTTGCATACAAATATTGTTATTTTATTTACACATTAATTGTTGTAAGTGCATTTATATTTTGAATAATGAACTGGTGTTAAATGCTAATGTACACTTTATTAAATTAACAAATATTTTCAAAGTTAGTTTCTGTAAAATTAACGCCTGCAGATTCAATAGAGAAAATCAATGGCATAAATTGTTTTTTTCCACTTTAATTGCTGTTACATTACTTAAAGCACTGGGAATATAAACACCCCTAACCGATAGCGTTATGCTGTTGCAAATATTTATTATTTACATCCTATCGCTTATCATTGCCCCACAAGTCCAGCCAGCAGACCCCTCAGCTATTGAAATTTTGATAATAAAATGGAAATATTGTATAACTATTAAGGACGTTTTCAAAGGTGGCTTATAGTTGTTTTAATTGTAATTGATAAACACACATTAAAATAAATACTTTTGTGTTGTTTAATAATTGATTTTTGCATTTTTCATTCTGGCCTTATTACTGCCAAGCCTTCACACAACACTAGGCGTAGAGTCAGTTCGTTTCGATGGGTTCATGCTTTCGCCAATTGCTACCCTTTCATTGAAATGTGTTTCAGTCTTATCGCATAATGTTGCCCCATGGGTCTAGCCAGCGGACTCATCAGCTGTTAAACGCCGTTCGAGCAGCTGCACGCTTATCAGTGGCTAACCGCCCATCCACCCAGCCACCTGGTGGTGCTGGTGGCCGTCGGGTGGTGGGCGACAGTGCAACTGGAAGCCGCTTCCAATGAGGGACGCTCGGCTGGCGGCATCCAAAACAGCTTCGTGGATTGTCTGTCTTGTCTGGCTCGTCGTCAGTGTCGGCGGCAGTCGCAACAGTTTGGTTGCCGTCGCCGTGTCGTTTCAGTTTCAGTTCCTGTTTGTCGTTTCACGTTAACGGTACACAAAGTTCGGAACATACAAGTCGGAGTGTTGGCGCGAGCCTCTCGAAGCACCAACAAGTTGTACGATTTTTTGCGATATACTTGTACTACGAATATAATCGTACGTTACGTGTCGCAGGTGAAAACATGAAACAAATATGAACTTCAAACGCCAAGTGCCCAGTGTTGCAGGTTGCGGGCTATTGCTAGTGCTGTTGGTATTGTTATTGTAATTGTTATTGTTGCTGTGGCGTGTCCAACAATTAAATGTTATAATTGCCACAGAGAAGGCGACAAACACACACATGCACAGTGTTAATAAATTTTAATATTTTGTCAACTCGCACCAACTCGAAATTGTAAGTGCCCGTGTTTGTGTCTGTGTGTGTGAAATTGTTAATGTTTAACGCGATTCCTTTGATACGCGGTACGTGGCGTATGCGCAATATTATTTGAGCCCCCACAGATAAAAAGGTATGTTGTAACACTAATTTTTGTGTGTAATTTATTCATAGGAATCAAGTGTTCATTATAGAGTTTTGTTTTAATTTTCATGTTCAAGTTTTCTTATTTGTCCGCCCCTTTTTGGCTCTTGACGATTTGATCAGGATTTTCCTCCTTGGCTTGTCATCGCTCGGAGGTGAAAGTGGCGAATAAACCAATTGAGTCATGCCGAAAGCAATTAAACCGAAAACTTAAATATATTAAAAGAAAGAGCATGTTAAAAACGGTTTCATAATTTCGTAGCTGTTAAATATTCAATATTTGTTTTGCAGTCCAACAGATACGTTCTTAAAAAATAGAATAGTGCTAAATATTTGTAATAGGTTATAATTTATTTATTTTATAAATTAGAACAGCTATTGGCTTTCAATTAAATAAAAATTACAGCCAATAAGCTTACGAGAAGCAAAATATATATTTTTTAAGTCATATGAAATCTAAATTATTGAAATTTTCTTTCTTGATTAAATTAAAAATTAAATATTGCTAATTGCTCCGGAAAAATGTAAAATTCATTTAAGAAATGATTTACATTAGCTTGCATTAAATGAAAAATTATGCTTAGCATATTTGCTTTTAATATAAATGAAAATATTTTGTTTGAACTATTTGGTTTGAACAAAGATTATGTTGCAAAAGGCCCTTCAGAAATTGAAATATTCTTAAGCACATAAAAGCAATCATTTGTGTAAGGTCATTTTATATTTCTTTTCCAAGGTTGTGCCTTTTCTCGAGTTAAAATAAATACTATATTGCATTCATAACATTTTTAAAGCAAATATTGACAATGAGTATTGGATAAATATTTAAAAGATATTTATATGTTATATGTATTTGCGTCATATATTGGTATCTTAAAGCTATGAATTAAACTGAAAAATGTTGTAATTTCGCATTCGACGCAAACATTTATAATTTAGAGTCGCGCTAAAACGCGTAACTTAAACCAACCGTGGCTAAGTTTTGGCAAATTCTCAAAGCAGAGCTGTGTTGCGCACAAAACGAGATACTTTATGTGAAGAGGCAATTATTCAGATGCTGAATGAAATTATATGTCAAAGGAAGCCGCAGAAATAGAGTGCTTGTTAATCGTGTATTTAGAAGATCGGCAAAGAATCAGGCCTTGAAAAAGCTTTGAAAGTATTGAAAAGCAGACTGTGATGGCTTTAAAAATGTAATACTTTAAATTATCTTGGAAACACTTTTATATATGATTTATGATTTATTGAGGCTTTCTGCCTAGGGTTTTAAGAAATCTAGCATTGCCGTATAAATTATCACTTTAGAGCAGAATTTTATATTTGCTTCCGCTTGAAATTTTTGATTAATTTGATGGGCCATTCAGTAAGAACAGTTTGCAATGTGCTATCAAAAGCTTTTAGTAAGGATATTACTAAGTAGTTTTAAGCACGTTCACTGATGCGACGCAGGGCCTTAAGATGGGCTTAAGGTAGCTTAAATTGCAGCTGCAGGCAACGGTTTTAATTCTGGTGCAGGCCGTACAGGGCTTAACACATTTTATACCAACTTACTGCATTGTTTCAAATGCAGAATACCGTGGCTTAAATCCTTGATGTTGGTATAATAAAGCTCTTTTCAAGGGTGTTATATTTATTTTAGAATAACCTAATATTCAACACACTTGATTAAATGCCTCGAATTAAATAAGAAATTAAGAAATTTTATTGAATACAAATTCCTTTTCGACTGAGATTTGAATGAAATCTTCAGCATTGAAAAATTGAACTATCATTAGTAGCTACATTTTGTTGGACTTACTGATAAATATCTGCACTATATGCATGCTGATACAAATGATTCGCAACTGAAATTAGACGGTCTTTAGGTTTTCTTTGTGGATCGTGCCGAATTGCATGAAATTTTGCAATTATAACCGTGTCTGGAAATTGCTTTGCGTTTTGTTAAACTAATTAGAGAAATTTAGCATGGTATGGTTGTTAGAAATACGTGCTGGCACTAACTTGAATATATCAACAGACGCGTATGTGTATTGTGTTTGTCTCAACAAGGCCGTTGGCTAAATCATAAGCAAAATTTGTGCACTGCTTGCATAACACGCCCCCATGTCCCAACGCCCATACGCCCACTTAAGCGCGCGATTTCGTGTCAAGTTTGCAACAGCCATTAAAATTCAGCAAACTGAAACCAAAATCCCAAAAATAACAATATAATAATGGCCAGGCAGAGAAACAGCAACAACACCAGACGCAGGCATACTACAGTGGTAGTGGCAGGAAATTCATTTGCCAACAATGGCAACAGCCCAAGCGATTTATTCGTGCTCTGACTTCAGTGCCAAGCCAGTCGAAAGCCAGTGGCTCCTTTGGATCCTCCTACATATTTCATTCTCCACTTCCAAATGCATTTCGCATTTCGAGTCTCATCATCAGTGCTCAATGCCTTGTTCTTCGCCCTTTCCCCACTTGTTGTGGTTGTTGTTTTTGTTTTATTGTCTGCAGTTGTGGGAAAGTTATGTTTTGAATGGCATTGTGATTGAATTGAGTTTGATTTAATTCTTATTTTTATTGCATTTTAATATGGTTTTTATGGTTGTTCGCATTGTAACAGCAGCTGTGCCAAGGCTGCCAACGAAAGTTGGGCATTCACATCGATTATGCAATCATTTAGTTGGTAGTTATAAACTAGTACGATAGTTGCTGCACAATTTTCAATTGAGTTTCCGGCTGAGTTTGATTGAACATTGATTGTTGTTCGGCCAAAGGTTTTGATTACATTGGATGCTTCACAGCAAAAGCTCTTGTAAATTGCCAGAAACAAATTGATGTCCAAGAGCATTCTGTGTACTGTAATTACTTTGCAGCTCTCTGCAGCGTGCAGTAATAAATAAATGTGTGTGTTTTTCTATTTCTATTTACAAAAATTAAACAGAAAATTCAAATTTTATTGTTGTGCCATTATTGATAACTTTATTTACTCTGGCAAACTGGTTTTAAAAAAAGCTATTTCGATTTACTTACATAAGTAATAGAATTCAAAACTCAATGGAAAAGGCCTAAACAAATATATGCAAATAACTTGTATAGTGAGTTAATTAAAATATTTGGTTGTTACACATTTTTTAGGCAAAGACTTACATTTTTTTGTAGATTAGTTGCAAAGTGTACATAAGACTAAATTATTTGAACTTTTAATCACAATATCCCGAATATATTGTTTATTACAAATGGAAAAAAATTGGAAAAAGATTTGAAAATTCATTTAATTACTTTCATATACATTTCTTAAAATATATTTTTTCAAAATATTGATTATGACATTGTTTGAATGAAATAAAACATATGTGTATACATGAAATTAAACTGTGAATTTGTATTTTATTGCATTTTATATGCAGCTGTATAATCAATGAAGAAATTATAAATTAATTGCATAAAGAAGGCAAAATACAAGAGTTATTATAGTTCCAGAAAATGAGCAATCGTTTCAAGTACTTTAACTACCATAAAATCTGAAAATCTGACCTGGAACTTTCACCTTTTAGACTCATAAAATACATAGTAACAAAGACAAAAAAGCAAATCTAATGATCATAATTTTTGGGCATCTTGAAAAACTCGTTGCCCTCTCTCGGCCAGTCTGCGACTTAGTTTTATACAAAGATTCTATGTTATACCATTGATTCAAACACAGAAATAACGATAAGCCAATTCAATGTCATCATTCAACCATCATTCTTATAAGTAACGCTATTAGAGTAACGCTATCGAGAACCCTTGAGGTCATTCTCTGGACAATTTAATTGTGCAATTGGCCTCAGTCGGTGCCTTGTCGGTTCAATCGACTGGCATGCCATTCAATGATATGCCATAAACTTGTTCATAAAATGCGTTTGTTAGTCAATAAATTAAACAATTAATGCCTGGAAATGGCCTGGGCCGGGCTATAAATAAAATGCAGCATCATGCCCAGCGATAACTTCATTATGGCTATGGGCTATGGGCAAGAGCCCATTGTCAAGACAAGGACACGCGCTTTCGCTTATCCATTACCAAACGCCAGGCCACAATTAAAAAAAAAACGATAAAACGTGAAAATTTCTGTGAAAAGCGAATTCAAAAACAACAATAAGAAGGTTCAACTGCCACCCAGACAATTTGCAGGCGTAACCAAAATGGACAACGTCATGCACATGACGTAGAGAGCGAAAGGAGCAAAAGAACATCAGTCCTTCATGTCACGTTCTGGACTGTGAAGCCACCACTCCATCTCTTTTCCACTCTTACCCTCTTTCTATCACTGTTTGTCCCCACACTGTTCATTTATGTCATTCATTAAGCGGAAATTTTTAATTAAATTCTCGCTTGAATTAGCCCCATTTCAGTCACGTGTTAATAATAATCAAACGGCCAAGACGCTGATCCGAACAGTTGACAACTTACAGCGAATTTCCCGTTTATGTACAGCAAAAACTAACAAGTTGGGCCGTGACTGTTTATATAATTGTAACAATATAATAAAGGATGAAACTATACATAAAATACATAAAAGTACTTAATACTGATATTATGTCGCAATACTGAACATTAGTGTGAGGCTGCTGACCTCCCGATGTCTCTAAATAAGAAATCGCTGGATGGTCGATGCATCGATGTTTTGAAAAATGAACTTCAATTGAAAAAGAGGCTCATATTCAGGAGAAAATTAAAGAGGTGTTTTAAATTAAAAATGTTTATAAATCAAAAGACGCCGTCGTATTATTTTACTACTTTTTCTCGTATGATTTTCTTAAAAATAAACCTATTAAATACAGCTTTAAAAACAAATCAATCCGACACTCTGCAGTCACGTATTTTAAGCATATTAAGCAAATCCAAATGAAGATCAAATGCTTAACAATGTAAAATAAATATAATAAAATCCACATTTTATTGATAACATCAAACAATTTCAATACAAATATACCTTCACCAATAAACCGCACAAAAAAAAAAAATGGCCCGTCCAACAAAACTTGAAAAATGTTCAATGTTTGGTCAGACATCGATGCATCGTGTTAAAAACATCGGCGATGCTCGATACATCGATGTTTTTTTACATCCTTAACTTGTCTTTCAGATTAATTCTGAAACTACATAACTAGACAGTTTTCAAAAATTTGTTGTGATTCAAAATGGTGCTTAGATTTAAAGCATACAATTAATATTTGACAGTTATTAATTTTTTACAATTCTTTTTATTCATTTTGTCAATTTAAGCAGTCCCCACTGTACTCATAACGCGCAATCATAGCTCGTAATAATTCTGGTGAGGGCTTAGCTGCTGCTCTTCCGCCGCTCCCCAAACCATTTAATGCCGTGACGCACAGCGTTTTACACCGAGTTGTGGGAAATCCACAATAATGAATGAATAATCTGACAGGTTCGATTGATTTTTGGCCCTGTCTCAATAGATTTAAGTATGAAGGACTCGGTGTCTATTGTCGTTTGGTTATGTGATTTGCGTTGACAGCCAGTATTCGGACTTCCTTTCGGACTGGCTTGGTGACAACTTTGTAAGTAAGTAACAAGAGTAACTTAGTAACAGGAGGAACGTAGAAAGGCAATAGCGACTGACAGAGAATAAACATTACCACCAACAATGGAATTGAGTGAAAGAGTATGGACAACGCGCTTTCTAGTTCTTAAAGAATTCGAGGAAGCCAAAATAGGTTTTATTCAAGCTATGACGTCAGGGGTGGCGATACTAAATGCCTCAACATGACGTTGTAGGTTTGAGAAATGCAGAGAAAGGCGTTTTGCCGACAGACAGTTAAGCAGCTTTCCTAATATAATGTACAATGATAAGCAAATACTAAGCAAACTTAAGTTGAAAGGAATTGGTAAGAAAGCAACATGCTGAGAGCCAAAATCCTAATTTGTTAAGTCAGCAGGACTTGGTTGCTATTTTATTTGCTAGATTTCCAATTTGAAGGGAATTCGTTATATATTAAAGACAGCTTTTAGGACATAAGCTAATTGGTGGCAATTATGACTTGTAAAAAATATTTTGACTTGTGGCAAGTAATACATGAATAAGAAAGAAAAACATTCAATAAAGAACGGAAATTAAATTTGTTTTTCCACCTCTATGGAGTTGATAGTCAGTCTAAGAATGTCAATGTCGGAAAAAGACCAAAAACAAATACTCATAATGAAAATTGACTTACTCCTTTTTGTGCTCTGAACATGTCTATCTTTGAGTTTGGACTTTGCAATGTTGTTTTCCTTCAAGTGCTTACCTTAAGCTATCAATTAGTCGAAGTGTCAAGAAAGCAGATGAACTCAGTGTTTTTCTAAGGAAAGGAATTGCCATTATCTTTACGTGAGTTGGCAACAAAAAAATCGTATAAAAAAGTTGATAGGCATCATAAGCCAAGCGTAACAAAACTCGGATAACAAACCCCAAAGCAATTTAGAATAGATTTGGATAGAAAAGAAAAAGCTCGCAAAGGTCCATTTAATAAAGTGTGTCTAAAGGTGTGTGTTAAACATTTCAAATAGGTGAATAAAGACATTGTTAATTTTAAGCACAGTCGGATAATGAAGGGGTTTTCCAATACCAATTAAAAAGGAATAAATTCCTCTTTTTTTTTTTAAATTAAAATGTGGTGCTGTTGAACAATTATTCGAATTGTAATATTTTTAGTAATTTGGAATGTTAATCAAAGCTTATTTGCGTTCGATTTCTATAAGTTTTTTAGAGCTTTCCAATTCGTTAAATTTATTTACTCTCGGTGTAAAGAAAAAATACTAAATATTAAAAAAATTAATTTTTTTTTTGGTTTATTT